TGGAACAGTGAGCTGGGGAAGTCACAAGCAAAGCACAATAGCACAGTCCTCTGCAGAAGCAGAGTATGTGGCAGCAACAGACGCATGTAATGAGACTGCGTGGCTTAGATTATTGCTTGCAGACATGGGTACAGACAAACCAAACCCTATACAAATCTTTGAAGACAATCAGAGTGGCATCAGACTTTCACATTCAGAGAAAGTAGGTGGGAGAACTAAGCACATTGATGTAAAGCATCACGTGGTGAGAGAGTTGCAACAACAAGGGTTAATCCAACTAGACTACTGTCCCACGGGAAACATGACAGCGGACATCTTCACGAAGCTGTTGTCGAGAGCAAATTATCAGAAACTAACAGAAAAATTAAATATTGTAGGATACGGAGACATGCAAGATTGAAAAGAGGTGTTGGAAAATATGGGGTTTCAACCAAGCCTGTCTCACACAAGCACGAAGGGAGGGGTAGCTTCGCTGCGGCCTAGCTTTGCTGCTTTGTGTGGGAGGAGCTTGGATCCCGCCTTTTTTCTTTCCTGTTTCCCTCATTTTCCTTCTCTTCTCCTCATGGCTCTCCACGAGGTAGGAATGAATCCTCTCTCCTCTTCAGGGTTTTTGTAATAACATTTCAGAACCCCAACAATTTACAGGCACCAACAAAACAAGATTGTGTCACAGAAATTCAATGACAAAGTGGCTGATTTTTAGCAGCAAAATAGCCAAATTTTCACCAGTACAATTTTTTTGTTCAAAATTAAGAGTGGAGTAGAATTGGGAAGCCTTTGGAAGGCAAAACGCTGCCTTTCCCACCCTTAAGCACACTCAGAAAAAATAGCTTGAAACTCTCTCCAAAACAAAACAGGACATGTTTTCTCATTTGCATAAGATGAGGAGAACGCAAAGTGAGAGGTGAGGCTGTTTGCCTCATATTCCCATCCCTAACTTCCCCACAAACATAAAAAACAACAAACAAACAAACAAACCTTCCAGTTACATCACCAGAGTCTCTTGGAGCCAACTGGAAGGTCAAAAGGAAGATTTGTGGCCTCCTATCCCTCAACCATTGTTAGCCCCTGCTTTAAATAATTGAGTCTGATTATGTTGTATTTCCTCCTCCTACTTATAGTTCACTAAATTAGGGAGGTGTCTGTCTTATGAATATTATCAGTCTATTGTAGCCTTAAACTATATTTTACCCCTTGTTGCCTGGCAATGGAGCTTGCATGTCTTCATCAAGGTAATTTTCCTTACTCTATACAGCATGTTCAAGAAGCATAGCTTCTACCTTTCCTGTTTCCAAGATTACCACAGGAGGCAAGTAGTGAGGCCAGTAAAAATACATGCAGTGGGATTTAAAGGTGGCTTATGTGACTGTACACATGACCATTCAATAAAACAGGTAAGGACTGGTAAAGAGCACTGCTAAATTTATCAGTGAATTTAATCCAATGAACACTAATGGCTGGAACAGATATACTACTGCATGAAGAACAACTCTAGAAATTGCCATAGTTATAATCGAATGCCTATGCATTGCAACTTATTGAAGACCAGCAAACTCATAATTCTATTAATTATAGTGCCCTTGTGTATCATTGGTGGGGAGAAATCAAGAGGTAATTTCTAGGCTTAGATGAAAATACTGTAAATTCTGCAGAATAAATAAAGTAAAAGGAAATGCTTCACTGAACAGCAAGCAGATGGAAACAGGCTGTGATGAAAATGATAAAAAATATCCATAGGATAATTGATCAGCATGAAATGAAAATACAAACTTCTGAAAGAGGTCTTGTCTAGCTCTTCATAAAGATAAAAAATTATTTTTATGAATAATAGATTAGAAAGGAGCTTGCTTTCTGTTCAGCTTTCTGAGACTGTTGCATAACTTGCTTGAATGATACACAGATCATTTTGCCACCAGGGCATTAATTTTTAGATTCTACAATCTCATGCTACAAGAGGCTAAAAGCTCAAAAAGACTTGGAGTTGTTTCTCCAAGATGCCTGAAAGATTTCAAACCAGTTGCTAAGGCTAATGCTTACACACCTGAATTGACATTAAGACACTTATCTTGGGATCGGGGGGTACTGCTGCAGAGGAATAAGCCAATGTACATTGACAGCACTACATATTTATTGGACTGCTCATTACTACAAAGGATATTTTAACCATGTTTGTTAAATAAGCCATAGTGACTTGGTTTACAACACATAACATTACACCATAGTGAGCAAGTTATGTCAAGTTAAGCCAAAAGCAAACAAACCATATCATCCAGTTATACATGATAGCTTTGACAAGCTAAGGAAGAACTAAAGATCTTTTCCCTTGATTTACAATTATAATAATTGAATTAGAAAATAAAAATCATTATTAAAATTTAAGCTATCTTTAAAGAGCCTAAATTTAAATTAGCCTCTTATTCAAGATGAATATGCCATAGCTAAGTGTACAGCACCCACTTTACTTCAGAAAGTTTTAATGCCAGTTAAATATTCAAATAGGTGGTGATGGGAAAAAACACCTCTGAAGGAAAACTTGTAGGTGAACCACTAGAGCAAATAATACTGGACTAGACAGAATGACTATGTCATAATTAAAGGTCATTTGTGTCACAGTTTTTCTACATACGTAAGTTTCTTTCCCACAAAAATTATGACCTTGTCATCAGACTTCATAGTATCAATGAAAAAACGTGTGAAAGCTCTTTTTTCTTCTTCTGGAATAATAACAATCTTCTGTTCTACTGTATCGACTGCCTGTAAAACCAAGTTTATTAAAAGGAAATATGAACGAAAAATAATGACATTTAATATATTGTCAAAGCTTCACATAAGAATTGTAGATACTGAAATAAAGTGGGGACAAAATGTTAGTAGAACACCTAAAAGACTTTTGGATACTATACATGCAGTTTAGAAATGGCAGCCCATTACTGAAGGACTATTCCTCAGATAATTACTTTATTCTTTCCCATTTTGACAGTATAGTACTGAATATTTTTTTAAACTACTCAGCAACTTAAACTTGTCAGCAACAGACAAATGAAATGACACTGTTGCATGCACACAAATTTCTGTTAGATGAGAAAAAACAAAGTTATGAAACTTACCTAAAAGGAAAGTTTACAGTCAGGCACGTATCTAATTTGAAACTTGTTCACTTTGAAATTTTATTTTAGTATATTCTTTTAAAACTAGGATATTAATATGTTATGGTCACTCACAAATACAATCTTCTTTCAGATACACAAAGCAAAATCAGACATTTTTGTTATAAATTATGGATATGTATTCCCAGAATATTAATGGAGTAGCAAGCCCAGCACAACAGAAAACAAAGCAACTCACCGCTAAATCTAGAGTACCAACATATACAATAATTGGATCTTTCAAGTATGATTTTGCAAGGCGGCGGATACCATCTGGCCATGTAGCACTGGTGGAATTAAAATAGATAGATATTTTTATATATTTTAAGACTATTATTTCCCCATTCTAATTCTCTTGCTATTTCTATAAAAAATACTATCAATCCAGTTGCATTTAAAACTTTCTACAAAAAATAAAAGATTCTGTTGCCATTTGTTTAACTGCTTTGTCCCATCTCATGGCATCTAGCATCTTTCCATCTCATTATAAATTGTTTCATCCATGCATTCATCCTTTCCACTTATAAAAAGTCTGATTTAATTATTTCCCACATTTTTTTGAAAGAGCTCAAAAAAACTTTTTAATTATCCCAGCTCATTTCCATTATAACTTTACATTTCAATATTGAGGGTTATGTATTGCCCAAGTTTTCATAGTAAACTTAATCACTTTGTGGACAACTAATCATGGATCTCCCTCAATTAATTGAGAAAAACAGAAACACTGGTAGATGGTACCTCCAGAGATACAATAGCACCATCCTACTTCCATAGCAAAAGAGGGTCTTGTTACAAAGAAAAAAGAGTCTGGGGAAATAGGACATTGCTATAAGGAAGTAAGAAATTATCTCTTAGCTCATGTGTTAGGAATAAACCAATGTACTCTAGAATCAATGATATGCCTTCAGAGAGGGACTGGGGTCAGAAGGAAGCACTTGCTACTGGCAACTTAGAAATATAGAGAGAAGAGTTTACAATAGACATGCAGACAATATGACTTACTTCCTAATATGAAAGCAGTGGATATTCTGTGTGATAGTCTGATAGATATTACTGTGACAATAGTCAGAACTTTGAACATTTAGCATCAGTGACATGGGGAAATGTAACTGTCAATTAGGAACAGAATGCTGGGATAGATGACAATACAGCACTGCTTATGTTGTTCAATGGGGAAAGATTATTTGGTGTATAAATCCAAATCATAGATTTTATAACTAGCAAAGCAGCTCTATTTAATCTGGAAATGAGATCACTTCCCATCCATCCTCCTATACCAGAATTGGAAAGGTAGGAAAACTTGTTTATAAATTTTTTAAAATGAGAACATACTGAACAGCGATGAAAGGAAAAGCTTGTTCTCTAGTTCTTTCAAAACATGGCTAAAGTGTGTACCAGCTGGCTGCCTGAAGTGCCTTTTCCCAGAAGAGAGTATGAAGCCCTATTTCTCTAGGCAAGGAAACAACCACATCAGTTGGTGTCAGAGCCTTTGTCACATCTAGAAATAACATCTATGTCTCCCATTTAAAATAAAAATAACAATTTAAAATTAAAGTGCCACAAATTTCTCAAGTTCATCTATTTTCCTGAGAATCCAGCAATCTGTAATTTAGCTATTTATCTAAAGAGATATACAAATTGCTTTTATTTGCAATGTGATGTAAAACAAATTATGTATTTTCTGTATAGCACATCTTTAGGCAGCGTTATCTATCAACAAAAAGTATATTACCTGGTCATAACTGTTTGTCTGTCAGGACGTATATCTAACAAAATCTTCATTATTTGAGGCTCAAAACCCATATCCAGCATTCTATCTGCTTCATCCAATACCTATGAAAAATACTGGTTAACTACTGTTGATTTCAATGTACTTGTTTGAATTTGATGTAAAAATCTGAAAACTACTAAATTACTGTGGAGTATATTTCTATATTTATTTTAATGCATATGTTAGAGTTGAGTTAGTTACATGTGCTCTTTGTTGTACGGATATTTTTCATTATCCTTTTGTTCTGGTATCACCACTAAGGCCTTGTGAGGTTTTATAAATTCCTATATGGTAATGGTATGGTAATGGGTAGAATATGGGGAAATTAGAGGATAGAATCTCCTTCATGGATCACTGCCTTGTCGTGGCGAAGGGGCTTGCGTAACTCAGTGAAACCATGAG